TTTTTTTTGTCAGTTGTTGGGCTTAAACTCTGGGCCTGGGCTCTGTCCCTGAGCTCTTCAGCTCAAGGTGAATACTTTACCATTTGAGTCACAGCTATACTTCTGGTTTTCTAGTGGTTAATTGGAAGTAAGAGTCTCGAGGACTTTCCTGCCCGGTCTAGCTTTGAATGGAGATTCTCAGATCTCAGTCTCCTGAGTAGCTGTGATTACAGGCCTGAGCCACTGGTGCCCAGCTGATATTTCCATTTTTTAAAGTTCCTTGTGGGGCTGGGAATATGGCTTAGTGGTAGAGTGCTTGTCTAGTAGGCATGAAGCCCTAGGTTTGATTCCTCAGTACCACATAACCAAAAAAATAAAGCTAGGATTGATGCTGTGGCTCAAGTGGTAGAGTGCTAGCATTGAGCAAAAGTAGCTCAGGGACAGTCCCTAGGCCCTGAGTTCAACCCCTAAACTGGCTAAACAAACAATTTTTTTTTAAAAAGCTGCTTGGGGTAGGGGTTGGGGTAGGATGAGATGAGGAGGTGAATGTGGCTGTAAAAAAGCAACACAAGTAATTTGTTATAGTAATAGATTCAGCTCAAGTGGTAGAGCATTAACCTTGAGTGAAACAGGTAGGGGACAGTGCCCAAGCCCTGAGTTCAAGCCCCAGTCCTGGCACCAACAAAAAGAAGTATCAGGAAAAGCAGAAGTCAAAACCTATGCCTTTTGATACACAGAAATCCAGTTGCAAGAAGACCAGAAGTGCTGGGGATATAGCTCAGTAGTATGTGTTTGCTTAGCATGTATGAATGGTCCTGAGTTTGGTCCCCACTACTACTAAATAAGTGGAGCGTTTCACTTTTTTTTTTTTTCCTGAATGATTACTACTTAGTTTAAGTGTTGTTTTAGGGTCATGGCATCTTGTCTATATATGCTCCCATGCCCATTTACTCTTGTTGTCATGTGAGTATGCTGTACCTAGTACCCTCATGGCATTGGAATCTTTCTGTAGCCTGCACTGTAGAGAATATGAGTGTATAAAAGAAGAAAGTTGAAAGGTACTTGCTGGAGAGTACGGTGTTTGGGAATAGCTATGGCACATTAGGGTGAATGTCTAAGGAGTTAGGGAGTTGATGTGAAAATACAAGGGATGAGGCAGCAATAAGGCTTCTAACCACCCAGTCAGGAATTGAAGAGGTTAAGCCAGTAAAAGAGTGCAGGCAGGTGGCCTGAGGTATTGAAGAAGTGGGGTACAGGAAGTTCTTTGAAGATGACTTGCATATTTGTAGAATAAGAGGAAGGAAAGACTTACATAGTGGGGGCAGGGGAGGGAGATTAGGGTGATAAGCCAAATTTTGGGACCTTTTATTTGTACTAAGGTTGAACCTAGGGTCTTGCTATGCTAGAGACAATGAACACTCTCAGCACAAGATTCTAATTGTTTGGAGGGAGGGAGGGAGTTTGAACTCAAGGCCTCTCTTTTGTTAGGCTGGTGCTTTACCATTTGAGCCAGCTCTCCATGTTTTTTTTCTTTTTTTAGGACAAGGTCTTGATATGTAGCTTAAACTAGTCTGGAACTTTTGGTCTTCTTGCCTCAGCTTAGCAAATGTATATCACCACACCCAATGCTAGCCCAGTATTTTTTTCCTTCAAATTTATTTATTTATTTATGTTTGTCGGTTGTGGGGCCTGGACTCTGGGCCTGGGCACTGTCCCTCAGCTCTTCAGCTCAAGGCTAGCCCTCTACCACTTGAGCCACAATGCCACTTCCGACTTTTGCTGCTTATGTGGTGCTGAGGAATCGAACCCAGGGCCTTATGTATACAAGGTAAGCACTCTACCACTGAGCCACCTTCCAAGCCCTTATTTATTTATTTACTTGTTTAAGTAATTTTACAAAGGGGTTTCAGTTCCAGAAATCATCTTGACAGCCTAATATTCTTGACAAGGTGATAGGGCCAGCTTTCCTCTGAGATGGGACAGGGAGGAGAGTAGGGGGATTGATAGAAGGGAGGGAAACTGAGGGGGCTCTATGGACAAAGACTTGTAGGAAGATATAGAAAGTCTTGAAATGAGGTGACAGGATGGTGGGGGTAAGGACTTGAGCAAAGTGAAGTTCTGGTCCTGTTCCTGCAGGGAGGAGACTGGGCATTTTGCCTAGCAGCCAGGTGTGCCAGGTGATGCTTGATCACAGCCTAGTGGGAGGGAGAACTGGAAGCTGGCAGTCGGTATGTCTGTGGCTGGGGACTGACATGCCTGTACCTGTAGGACAGGGACAGATATTTCTGGTGTGCTGACAAGGTGAAATGGGAAGGCTGGGAATGGAGAGAAAAGGGTTTTCTAGAGGCTTAAGGTAAAAGGTGGAAAGGGAGACTTCTGAGTTTAGGATCTGAGGTCCACATTCTCACTTCTAATGTTTTGTAGACACATTTAAGGGAGGCTGTTAGTATACACATTCATCAGCCTTTCAGACTGCTAGAACATGCCCAGGGCAGGAGAAAGAAACCTGTTCTCTGAAGCCATATCCTGGTGGCACTGAGCATTACTTAGCTGCTTGCATAGGTCCTTGAGTGCTCAGGTGTGGGTTAGGTATAGCTTTTCCTGACTAGCACCCTCTTTGACCCTCTTTGCTCTCCAAAAAAGCATTTTAAGCCCAGCACCCATGGCTCATACTTGTAATCCTATGTGCTCTGGAGGCTGAGATCTGAGGATCATGGTTCAAGGCCAGCCCAGGCAGAAAAAAATCTATGAGGCTCTTATCTCCAATAAACTACCAAAAAAGCCAGAAGTAGAGCTGTGGCCTTGAGCAAAAGAAGCTCATGGACAAAGCCCATGTCCTAAGTTCAAGCCTCAGAACCAGCAAAAACAAAACAAAACAAGTGTTTTGAATTTGGATGGTAAATGGAAGAGGAACTCTGAAGATTCGTTGACTAGATCTGAGGACAAAACAAAAAAAGACCAAATGAGCCGGGCGCTGGTGGCTCACGCCTGTAATCCTAGCTACTCACGAGGCTGAGATCTGAGGATCGCGGTTCAAAGCCAGCCCGGGCAGGAGAGACCGTGAGACTCCTATCTCCAATAAACTACCAGAAAACCGGAAGTGGCGCTGTAGCTCAAGTGGTAGAGCGCTCGCCTTGAGCTGAAGAGCTGAGGGACAGCGCCCAGGCCCAGAGTTCAAGCCCCACGACCGACAAAAAAAAAAAAAAAAAAACCAAATGCCAGGGAGTCACACTGCTGGTACTTTTACTTATGGCAATCCCTACCTGTCTCTACGGGACAATAGTCAGGACCTTAGCTCTCTATCCACTTAGTCCAGCTGGGTTCTGTGTGGTGGCTGACTCCTGTTGAAGCCCTCAGCATATTTCCTACTGTCCTATCATCCATCTTTGTTCAGTGGTACCCTCTCATGGTCATTCATTAGAAATTGGGCACTGGTGGAACACACCTATGATCCTAGCTATTTAGGAGTCTGAGATCTGAGGATTATGGTTCAAAGCTGGTCTGGGCAGACAGATTTGTGAGACTCTTACCTCCAATTAACCACCCAAAAGCCTGAAGAGGAACTGTGGCTCAAGTGGTAGAGTACTAGCCTTGAGCACAAAAGCTCAGGAAAAGCAAGTACCCAGGCCTTGAATTCAATTTCTAGTACTCACACATACACACACAAAAAAAAGCAGACTTGGGAAAAATTATGTCTCTTTTCTACTTAAGTTTTGCTTGCTGTGTCTATTGGTTGGATGCCTACTCCAGTGGCTCTGCGTGTCTCATCTCTTCCTAATCTTGTCCTTTGAGAATTGGCCCATTGAGTGCTGACAATTCACTTCTATTCCCACCATGGTCAATGTACTGTTTCTGTTCTCATCTCCCTTTGGTCTTTTTCTGAGAGCTGAGACAGTGTTTTCCTTGGGAGATTGTGGAGTGTAACTCCAGGGTGGAAAGGGGTAATGGCTCTCGTAATGCAGTGTCTGACCTAGACAGCTATGCTGTGCTGACAGCCCTGGGCATCTGTGCTAATGTTGGAAGCTGGGCAGTGGAACCAGAGTTGTCACAGGAAATAGCTAGTCTGCTGACCTTCCCTCAGCTAATTCTTTGAGGATTCTTAGGGTTGTTACCAAACCCTTTGGAACTTAAGGGCACAAGATTTATGTAATGACTTCAGTATGTGGCCCTTTTACCTGGGCAAAGCTTAGTTCTTCTAGTAAATGTAACTAATCTTTTCTTCAGGGTCCAGCTCAAATTTGGAATAGAGGAAATATTAATTTTAATACTTTAGCTAGTGTGGCTTATAAACAAAGATGTTTATACTGGAAGAGACCTAGCTCCTGCAGGGATCAGACAGGCAGTCAGGTAGGTAGGCCTGTGATTGGCATGAATAGGTGGAAGGCTACACACTGACTTCTGGGCATGGCACAGTGTGGTATCTGGTGCCCTCTGGTGGATCCAGAGTTACTTTACAGGCAAGCATTGGAGGCCAGCTTTCTGGATGCTTTTTTTTTTCTTTCTTTTTTTTTTGGTGGGTTGTAGGACTTGAACTCTGGGCCTGGGCGCTGTCCCTCAGCTCTTCAGCTCCAGTCTAGGGCTATACCACTTGAGCCACAGTACCACTTCCAGTTTTCTGAGTGGTTTATTGGAGATAAGAGTCTCATGGACTTTTCTGCCAGTCTGGCCTCCTGAGTAGCTAGGATTATAGGCGTGAGCCACCGGGCACCCGGCTTGCCTGGATGTTTTTTCTGGGTGAGTTCATCATAGGCCGCCCATTTGTAAGGTTAGGTAGTCAAGCCAGCCCACCTACCTAGTTCAGCACCTATGCCATACAAGGCATGTAGGCATTTTCCTTTTTTTTTTGGTCAGTCGTGGGGCCAGAACTCTGGGCCTGGGTGCTGTCCCTCAGTTCTTCAGCTCAAGGCGAGCGCTCTACCTCTTGAGCCACAGCGCCACTTCCAGTTTTTGAGTGGTTTGTTGGTTTTTGAGTGGTTTGTTGGAGATAAGAGTCTCACGGACTTTCCTGCCCTGGTTGGGTTTGAACCACAATCCTCAGATCTCAGCCTCCTGAGTAGCTAGGATTACAGGCGTGAGCCATCAGCACCCAGCTGCAGGCACTTTCTTACCTGAAAGATAAGCCAATTAACAAAAGCCAAAGGGAGGAGTAGTCTTTCCTCACAAGAGTCTACCCTGTTGGCCTGTTAGACTTCTACCTTTCAGTAAATAGGGTCAAGGGAGAAGAAAATGTGTGTGTGTTTGTACCAGGCCTGGGGCTTGAACTTAGGTCCTGGGCACTGTCCCTGAGTTTTTACACCCAAGGCCAGCCTTAGTCTTCTATTAGTCTTCTACTTAAGCCCCATCTTTACTTTGGGCTTTTTTTTGGGGGGGGGTTTTGGTCATGGGGCCTGAACTCTGGTCCTGGGCGCTGTTCTTCAGCTCTTCAGCTCAAGGCTAGAGCTCTACCACTGAGCCACCTTCCCAGCCCAAAATTGCTATTATTTTTATTTATGTGGTACTGAGGAATCAAACCCAGGACCTTCTGCATGCTAGGCATGCACTCTACCACTAATCCACATACCCAGCCCTCCCCCCCCCCTTTTTTTTTTTTGTCAGTCGTAGGACTTGAGCTCTGGGCCTGGGTACTATCCCTGAGCCCTTCAGCTCCAGGTGAGCACACTAACACTTGAGCCATAGCACCACTTCCAGTTTTCTTGTGGTTAATTGGATATATAAATGTGGGCTGGGAAAGTGGCTCAGTGGTAGAGCGATTGCCTTGCATGCATGAGGCCCTGGGTTCGATTCCTCGGCACCACATAAGCAAAAAGAAAAAAGCTGGAATTGGTGCTGTGGCTCAAGTGGTAGAGCACTGGTCTATGAGCTGAAGAGCTGAGGGACAGCGCCAGGCCCAGAGTTCAGGCCCCACGACCGGACCCCCCCCCAAAAAAAATAAATAAATGTCCTGGACTTTCCTGCTCAGACTGGCTTTGAACTGAGATTCTCAGATCTCAGCCTCCTGAGTAGCTAAGATTACAGGCTTGAGCCACCAATGCCAGGCACACTTCTGGGTTTTTGATGGTTAATTGGGTATGAGAATCTCATGGAGCTGGGTACTGGTGAGTCATACCTGTAATCCTAGCTACTCAAGAGTCTGAGATCTGAGGGTCACAGTTTGAAGCCAGTTAGGGCAGCAAAGTCCATGAAACACTTATCTCCAGTTAACCACCTGAAACCTGGAAATGTGTGTATATAGGTTTATTGTGGTGAAAACTCAAGATTTACTGTATTCATTGAGTTTAAGTGTACAGTAATGTTAACTATGTCCACATTATTGTGAAACTGATCTGTGGAACTTTTTTTTTTTTGGTCAGTTGTGGGGCTTGAACTCTGGGTCTACAGAACTCAGCTCTACAATGCCACTTCCTGCTTTTTCTGTTTACTGAGGAGTCAAACCCAGGGCCTCATGCGTGCTTGAGAAGCACTGAGCCACCTTCCCAGCCCTTTATCCTCTTATAAAATTGAAACTCCATACCCATTTAAAGAGCAATTCCTTGTTTCTTTGTCTTCCCTATATCTTGATAACCACAGTTCTATTTTCTGTTTCTATGACTCACACTCCTTTTTTGATATTGTAGATAAGTGGAATGATGTATTTATAGCTTTGTCACTGGCTTATTTCACCTGGCATAATATACTAAAGACTCAAACACGTTGAAACATGTGACAGGATTTTTTCCTTTTTTTTCCCTATCTATCTGTCTGTCTAGTGTATTTGGGACAGGGTCATGGTGTATAGCACACACTAGGCTCTTATCTTGTGATGTTCCTTTCTCTACCTTCCAAGTCCTTAGATTATGGGTATTTTTCCCACTCCCCCACCTTCCCCCCACTGGAAAATGAAACTTTGCCCACACTAGGGCAGGCACTGTACCACTGAGCTGTTTTTTTTGCCAGTCATGGGGCCTGAACTCTGGGCCTGGGCGCTGTCCCTCAGCTCTTCAGCTCAAGGCTAGTGCTCTACCACTTGAACCACAGCACCACTTCCAGCTTTTTCTGCTTATGTGATGTTGAGGAATTGAACCCAGGGCCTCATGCATGCAAAGCAAGCACTCTACCACTGAGCCACCTTCCTAGCTCCTTGTTTTTTTTTTTTTTTTTGGTCAGTTGTGGGGCTTGAACTCTGGGTCTGGGTGCTGTCCCTCAGCTCTTCAGCTCAAAGTGAGCACTCTATCGCTTGAGCCATAGCGCTACTTCCAGTTTTCTAGTGGTTTTATTGGAGATAAGAGTCTCACAGACTTTCCTGCCCGGTCTGGCTTTGAACCGTGATCCTCAGATCTCAGCCTCCTGAGTAGCTAGGATTCCAGGTGTGAGCCACTGGCGCCCAGCTGTACCACTGAGTTGTATCACCAACCCTTTAAAAATATTTTTGTGGGGGCTGGGAAGGTGGCTCAGTGGTAGAGTGCTTGCCTTGCATGCATAAGGCCCTGGGTTCGATTCCTCAACACCACATAAGCAGAAAAAAAAGCCGGAAGTGGCCCTGTGGCTCAAGTGGTAGAGAACTAGCCTTGAGCTGAAGAGCTGAGGGACAGAATTCAGGCCCACAACTGGACCCCCCCAAAAAAAAATATTTTTGTGTATGTGGTGGTACTGGGACTTGAATTTGAACTCAGGGCCTTGCCCTTTTACTAGGCTTTTAAACTCATAGTTGGCACTGTACCATTTGAGCCAAGCTCCCTGGGAAGAGCAACTAATTGAGGGAAATTCATTCAGGGCTTGTGTGTAGAAGGAGGGAAAAGGACATGTCCCAAAAGTCACGATTTGTTGATAGATAGGGTCATTTACCAAGTAACGGCCATCAGGTATGTAATGAAGGCCTTCCTGTGCCCAAGGTCTAGTGTCTAGGGCTGATGAGTGTTTTCTGATTACTCTGCAGGAGCTGATTGACCTTAAGATGCTTCAGTGCAAGAGAGTTGTCAATGGTGAGTGCATCCCCAGCTCCAGGACTGTGTGTGTGTGTGCCCTGCTGGCTGAAGTGGCACCATCACCAACCTTGTTCACATTCTTCCCTGTCTGCATTACATAACTATCTGTGTGAATCATTTGTTCTCTTAAGTTCAGTCACTTCTCTCTAGAGGCCTTGAGAGAAAACAAGAGGAGAAGGGTGGGGTATAGCTCAGTGGTAAGAGTGCTTGCCTAGCATCAGCAGCACTACGAAAGAGTAAAAGAAGTATGTAAGTAAGTGAGTAGATAAATAAATTAACAAGCCACCTACAGACTTGGTGGCTAGAAATCCCCATTTCATAATGCTTTAGAGTCACTCAGCATTGGGCCTGGCATAGATACTCCATAGCTGTGTGTTAGGTAAGTCACCTGACCTTTCCCTACCTCAGTTCTTATCAGTAAAATGAAAATCATAAGCTTTGCTTTACTTAAGTCATGACTTAGAGGAAGGATCAGATGAGCTATGGTGCCAGTAAGTACTTTGTACATTGTAAGCTCTGTGCAAATGGAAGTGGTTGTGATGAATTGTGGTTTTGCTTATATTTTATTGATTAGGCCAGTTCTATTTGGCTGCAATTGTAATCTTTGAGGTTTTTCCCTAGAAAATGAAAACGCTAGTCAGGTATGTTGACACATTCCTGTAACCCCAGCACTTGAGAGGTTAAGGCAGCAGCAGGAGGAGGAGGATCACAAGTTCAAGGTCAGCTTGGGCTACAAAGTATGTTTCAGGCTCCATACTTAAAGAAGTAATCACAAGAGGAATAATGTATGTTTTCCTAAACATACAAGTTGACTTCCACACCTCCTCCACACAGAATCTTTGCCACTTTTCTTCTAGAACATTTTACATATCAGAGTCTATAGGTGACTTGTCACAATTTGTTTTGCTAATACTGTAACGAGGGTTTTTATTTTGCTGTTATAAATAAAGGTGCATTATAAACATACCAAGTTTTTGTGGTTTTTCTGTCAGCCTTTCTGCTAGTCTTGAGCTGCTTCTATCAAGATTTAGTTTGAGGGCTGGGAATGTGGCTTAGTGGTAGAGTGCTTATCTAGCATGAATGAAGCCCTGGGTTCAGTTTCTTAGTACCACATACACAGAAAAAGCCAGAAGTGGCATTGTGGCTCAAGTGGTAGAGTGCTAACCTTGAGCAAAAGAAGCTCAGGGACAGTGCCCAGGACCTGAGTTCAAGTCCCAGAACTGGCCAAAAAAAAAAAAAGATTTAGTTTGATTACTTAACTCAGTATGTCGATCTTCTACCTTACCTTTTTTTTGTTGTTGTTGTTTTGTTTTGGGGGGTCTGGTCGTGGGACCTGAACTCTGGGCCTGGGTGCTGTCCCTCAGCTCTTCAGCTCAAGGCCAGCGCTCTACCACTTGAGCCACAGCGCCATTTCTGGCTTTTTTCTTTTTTGCCTATGTGGAGCTGAGGAATTGAACCCAGGGCCTGAGTCATGCAAGGCAAGCGCTCTACCACTGAGCCACCTTCCCAGCCCTTTACCTTACCTTTTTAAAAAAGCTTTCTAATTTGTTCAGTGTCTGTATGATAATTGCAGCTTCCATTTGTGGAAGTGCTTTAAAATATTTATGTATTTATTATGTATGTATGTACATACATACATTATGTATGTATGCACATAATGTATTGATTTATGTTCTGATCCTGGGGCTTGAACTCAGAGTCTAGACACTGTCACTGATTTCTGTACTTAAGGCTAGCACTCCACAACTTCAGCCACAGCTCTACTTCTGGCTTTTTGATGTTTAATTGGAGATAAAAGTCTCACAGGCCTTCTATCCCCGTTAGCTTCAAACTGGGATTCTCAGATATCAACCTCCTCAATTGCTAAAATTACAGATATGAGCCTCTGGTGCCCAACTCATTATTTATTTATTTTTTTTAATTTTTCAATTTTTTATTTTGTCCATCATAAGCCTGAACTGTGGGCCTGAGTGCTGTCCCTCAGCTCTGCAGCTCAAGGCTAGCTCTCTACCACTTGAGCCACAGTGCCACTTCTGGATTTTTTTGCTTATGTAGTGCTGAGGAATTGAACCCAGGGCCTCATGCAGGCAAGGCAAGCATTTTACCACAGAGCCACCTTCCTAGCCCTTCATTATTTATTTTTTAAATAAATAGCCGTATAAAGGAGTTTCAATTCCAGCTCAAGTATAGGTATAATGCATCTTGACCAATGTAAGGTTATCTTTTCTATTGTTCTCCCCCCAACCTCCCTGGTCATAGGGCTTTTTTTTTTGGGGGGGGTCCAGTCGTGGGGCCTGAACTCTGGGCCTGAGTGCTGTCCCTCAGCTCTTCAGCTCAAGGCTAGCACTCTACCACTTGAGCCACAGCGCCACTTCTGGCTTTTTTCTTTTTGCTTATGTGGTGCTGAGGAATCGAACCCAGGGCCTCAGGCATGCAAGGCAAGAGCTCTACCACTGAGCCACCTTCTCAGCCCCCTGGACCTGGGCGCTGACCCTGAGCTCTTGCTGAAGGCTAGTCCTATACCACTTTAAGCCACATCTCCACTTCCATCTGGTGGTTAATTGGAGATAGGAGTCTCATCGACTTTACAGCCTTACTGGCTGGCTTTAAATCAGTCCTCAGATCTCAGCCTCTGAGTAGCTAGGATTACAGGCATGAGCCACCAGCACCACGTTGTTCACCATTTTTTCCCCTCCCATCCCTACACTCAAGTGCTTAAGTGCTTCTAAGATCTCATTGCTTGAGCAGGAGGTATGACTCAAGTGGTAGTACACTAGTCAAGCCAGACTGCAAGACCCCGTGTTTGAGCCATGGGACTGGCACACACATACATACATACACAAAAGATCCCGTTTCTCAAAAGAACCTTTTAGGTAGGCATATTTATCCATCTGCCAAATTGGATCTTTGGAATAGTAGTCATCTTTGAAAGTTAATAATGTTAGTACCAATTAGACACCAGTGGCTCATGCCTATAATCCTATCTACTCAGGAGGCTAAGATCTGAGGATCATCATTTGAAGTCAGCCTAGGCAGAAAAATCCCTGTGAGGCTCCTGTCTCCAATAAACTACTCAAAAAAGCTAGAAGTGGTCCTGTGGCTAAAATGGTAGAACACTCGTATTGGGCACAAAGAGGCTCAGGGACAGTGCCCAGGTCCCGAGTTCAAGCCACAGGACTGGGAAAAAAAAATAATGCTAGTACCTACTATAGAGCTTCATTAAAAGAACAAATGGTACTGGGCATAGTGGTGCATGCCTACAATCATAGTACTTGGGAAGCTGGGGCAGGAGGATTGGGAGTTTAAGGCCAGCCAGGGCTACCTAGTGAATTTCAGAGTAGCCTGGGCTACATAGTAAGACCCTGTCTCAGAAAGTCAGGCCAAAAAGAGAACAAAAATAAAAGTGAGATAAGGTTGACTTTTGTTATTATAGTAGTTTTGTTTTAGAAGGTTGCTGAGGACATTGAAAACCCAAATACAGACTCTGTGTGTGTGTGTGTGTGTGTGTGTGTGTGTGTGTGTGTGTGCGTGTGTGCGCGCGCGCGCCTGCGTGCGTGCATGTGCACACGTGCTTGTTGATACTGGAGCCTAAATTCAGGGTCTTGCACTCTTTCTGCTTTTTTCAATTATGGCTGGGGCTCTATTACTTGACCCATACTTCTGGTTCCTGCTTTTTTACTGGTTAATTGGAGATAAGAGTCTCTCAGATTTGTTTACCTGGGCTGGCTTTGAACTTTAATCCTCAGATTTCAGACTCTTGAGTAACCAGAATTATAGACGTGAGCTGCTAGTACCCAGCCTATCCTTTTTTTTGTTTTGTTTTGTTTGATTTGATTTTGACAGAAGGAGAGGGTCTCAATAGATAGCCCAGGCTGGTCTTGGACTTGATATCCTCTTATTTCAATCTCCTGAGTGCTGCATTTTAGGCATCGCCAGTGTGCCCTGAAATGTTGACACTAGGGAAATCTAGAATTAGATTCTTGCAAGCCTCTGTTCACAACTAACATCAACTAGCATATACTCTCATTCTAATTTTTTTTCTCTTCAAAAAGGCTGCATGCTCTCTCTCTCTCTATATATATATATGTATATATAAAAATATGTGTATATACATATATATCATTGGGTCATTAACATTGAACTCACAGCCAATAGCACTATAATTTTATCCTGAATAAAGTTTAGCCAGGGCTAGGGATATAGCTCAGTAGTAGACCTCCAGAATTCTATTTTCTGGGACAGTTTGGGTCTAAATTGGAATAGACTGTACATTTTCCCCCAGCATTTAAAAAAAAGAACAAAATGGCAGGGTTCCGGTGGCTTATGTCTATAACCCCAGCTACTCAGGAGGCTGAGATATAAGGATCAGGGTTCGAAGCCAGCCCTGGGCAGGGAATTATGTGACAGACTCTTATTTCCAATTAAAACACAGAAAAAGCCAGAAGTGGCACTGTGGCTCAAGTGGTAGAGCATTAGCCTTGAGCAAAAGTCTCAGGGATAGATAGCATCCAGGTCCAGAGTTGGAGTATCAGGATGGCTCACACCTGTAATACTAGCTGCTCAAGAGACTGACATCTGAGGATTATAGTTTGAAGGCAACTTGAGCAGAAAAGTCTGTGAGACTCTTTCTTACCTTCAATTAACCAGCAAAAAGTGAGAAGTAGAGATGTAGCTCAAGTAGTAGAACACCAACCTTGAGTGAGAAAAAGCTAAAGGAATTCAAGCTCTAATACCAGTATCAGTACCAGTACAAAAAAAAAAAAAACCAAAGCAAAATCTTAATTGTTCAGAAAAAGTACATAAGAAACAAACACGCAGTTGGACAAATAATTGTAAAGTGAACAACAATCAGGATGAGATAGATTATCACCAGCACTTGAGAAGCCTCTCACAGATATTCTTACTTTAAGATAAGTAGATATCTAGAGTTGCTTTATTTGTTTCCAGGAAACAAAAACAGCTTAGGATTGCATCTTTGTTGCTATTTTTCCTTTTTTTTTTTTTTGATAGTAGTGGGAATTGAACTTAGGGGTCTTGTACCTGCTAGACAGGCACTGTACCTCTAGAGCCAAGCTCCCAGCCCTTTCAATTTTTTTAATAGTACTGGGGTTTAAACCCAGAGCCTCATGCATGATAGCCCGTTGCTTTACCACTTGAGCTATTCCTCCACCTCTGCTTTTTAATTTTTTAAGTTTAATTTTAATTAATTTTTTTGTCAGTCATGGGGTTTGAATTCTGGGTCTGGGCACTGTCCCTCTTCGTTCTACGACTTGAGCCACAGCACCACTTCCATTTTTTTCTGCTTATGTGGTGCCAAGGAATCGAACCCAGGGCCTAATGCATGCAAGGCAAGCACTTTACCACTGAGCCACCTTCCCAGCCCCTGTTTTGGTTATTTTTGAGGAAGGGTCTTTCACTTATGCCTGAGTAGGCATGAACTCTATAGTCATCCTATTTCTACTCCCCATGTAGCTGGAATGATAGATGTGAGGCATCATACCTGATTTTATTGATATGTTGAGACGTGGAGTCTTGAACATTTTTGCTTGGGCTGGCTTTGACCTGTGATCCTCTCAATCTACTTCTGAGTCGCTGTGATAACACGTGTGAGCCACCAGTGCCCAGTTGAACTTGCATCTTAATTTTGTGGTCCCATGTGTTTGTGTTTTCTTGTAGAGGTACTCAACACAGTGGATTTTGTTGCCCCTGATGACCGAGTAGTCTTCCGTACATGTGAAAGAGAACAGAGCAAGGTGGTATTCCAGATGGTAAGAAGTAAGAGATTTCAGCGCCTCAGGTTCACCTGAGAGATCTCCTTGTGCCAGTCAGTTTTAAATGCCTCGCCTATATTACACAGTGGTGGCTTCCTTAATAATTAGCTTGTGAGGTTGGAGGGGCGGGCAGTTGGTAGAATGCTAGCCATTGAGTGAAAGTGTTAGGTGCTGAGTTCTAGGCCTGGTCTCAGATGAAAACAAAAAGGAGAAGGAAAGAAAAATTGCTTGAACATTTTTCAGATTCACTCCTGTGGTTACACTATTGGAGTTTGTGAAAATCAAGCTGGTGGAGTGGGTTGTATGCCTCTAGTCTCCAGTTAATTTACTTAATTATAGCAATTGTTTTTTTTCTTTTTGCTTTTTTTGCCAGTCCTGAGATTGAACTCAGGGCCTGGGCACTGTCCCTGAGCTTCTTTTGCTCAAGGCTTGCACTCTACCACTTGAGCCACGGCACCATTGATGCTTTTTCTGTGTATGTGGTACTGAGGAATTGAACTCAGGGCTTCATGCATGCTGGGCAAGCACTCTACCATTAAGCCACATTCCCAGCCTAGCAATTGTTTTTTTTTTTT